GGACTGCTGCTGCCCAGCAACACAGAAGCCGGCAGCAAAACAAGCGGAGTGAAAACTACAGTAGTTAGACAATGCTGTCAGCTACTTAACACTCGAACTATGATTATTATTATTATTATTATAATCAAGGGGGAAGCGCTAAACCCGGAGGATTATACAGCGCCTGGGGGGGGGGGGATGTGGAAGGCATTCAGGCTTAATTCGGGGAACTGGAGCACAGATCCAATTCCCTAAATCAAGAGCCCCTCACCAACATCAAGGAACCTTCCTTGAGGGGACTCGAACTATGAGCACTGAATAATATATAAATGTTAAATCCAACCTAATATAACTAAGTCAAATAATAACATAAAGCAATATATTTACGATTTAGCTAATATCGCAAATATAAGCAATAAAAAATTATATGAACAGGTAATATACATTATATACATTGTGACCCATTCAGGGGTCGCAATACCCATATGCTGCAGTAGTTATCTGCAACATATTGGCGCTTCCGGAGACGTGCTCGGTGTTATGCTCACCCCAAGATCTTTCTCCTTGAGCGAGGTTTGCAGTCTTTGGCCACCTAGCCTATACTCCGTCTGCGGTTTTCTTTGCCCTTCCCCGATCTTCATATGTACAGATCTTTGCCCAAAGTGCTGTGCAGCTTATGAGTCAATGCCAAGATGCCTATCGTTAACAGTTACCAACATATATATAATAAAACAAGTAATGAATAATAGTTATAGCTTTATTTTAGTAATGGCTAATTGTGATACCCATATATTGGCACATTCAAATAAGATGGGGCACATTAATAGAACACGGATTGTTTTGTTATTATCATTATTATTAGGTGAAGCATTAACCAAACAGGGATCATACAGAGCCTAGTGAATGGGAGGCAATAGGGTTCGAGTCAAGGAAGGTTGGAGCAGGTTCAGTATCTTTGATCAAGAGTGCCTGACCTGCATCAAGGAAGACTGCAAAAAGCTGGTTATATTGCAGATAAGCAGTGTTGATGCTGTGGTTGTGCATATGTGTGGGATCCCCAGCAGAGATCTCTCTCCTCTTGAAGAAATTGTCACCCCGTGACCCCACCCAGCCATGGATCCTCAGCACCTTTGAAGCTCCACCCAGAGCCAACAGCATCCATCACACCGGCTACAGAACCCTCAATGGCATCTTCAACTGCACAATGTTTTACCGCAGAGATGCGGATGTTGTGGTCCCTCACGGGTTCATCGTCCGTCGAGATGAAGCCAAGCTTCTGCCTAAGTCGTGGCATGTACCCCCTTTACAATACCCAGGCAACTTTCACACACGTCATATGATCTATTTTAGACTTCTGACTTTATAGTAAATATTTACTCTTGCATTAGCTATAAGGGGAAGGTAAGTGAGGAATTCTTGCGTTGTGAGTCTTACATGAGATATCATTACTGGCAAACATGGCAACTGTCATAGAGGAACATATTTCTGCAGGTGATGGAAGTGATGATAGCTTCCAGACCTTTAAAAGTAAACGAAAGAGAAAAAGTGAGAAAGGGCTAGAGCGCCGACGTAGTCAGGCTCACTTGACTCGTAGGCAATGTGAAACTAAACATCCTTGGTGCACACAGGCTGCAAAAAGTCTTTCTTCAAAGGAAGAATGTGTTAAGCTGAACTTCCCTTACAACACCCTGCTGCCTGCTAAGTGTGCATGGCTAATGGAAGCAGTAAAGAAACATCCTAAGGCAAGGATACAGTTTAGAAATAACTCACACAACTTTGTGTTTGTGGAACAGAATGAAGAATTGATCAGTGATCTACTTAATACACCTTATGGGGGTATTAAGCTGCTCTGCCCTCCATCAGACACTCACCACTTTAAAAAATGGGTCAGTATCATAATCTTTGGATACCCTCTTTAAATGAACCCATCCCATCTGACTCTTAAGTGAGCATATCATCAAGCCTAAAAGACTTAAAGGACGATCCCAAATTATTGCCAGTTTGGTAGGCCCTATGCCCCTTTCCCGAAATATCTGGGTACCTGGTTTACGTTTCCTAAACATCGAAGTGTACCTACCCCCTAAACGTAGGTGTTACAAATGCCAGCACTATGGCCATGTTGCAGTAGCCTGTGAAATACTACATTCTTGGTGTGGTAAGTGTGCTGGGAAACATTCCACTAGAGAATGCACAGTAGGCCTTGACAGCCAAAAATTTAAGTGTATTAACTGTAAAAAAGTTGGGGTTACAGTTTCCCATAAGGACTACAGTCAGAACCCAAACAACCTTCTACGTAAGCCTGATAACAGTCCTTTAATGGTAACTGAGGATGAGGCCATCCAGTCTACCACAGCCAGATCTGAGACTGAATCTCTGCAAAGTGTGGAAGAACCCAACCTCCCTGTAAAGGATGCTGGTGATACCAGAATGCCATCACTCATACCAGTTGTGGAGGAGCTAGCCATCCCTGCTAACACATGTAGAACTACTGATCTGCCACCACCTATACATACACCTACACCTGAATATGGGGATGAGCATGTCTTTCCCAATACACACATCTACAACAGTCAGACAAACACCACACTTGTAACCCCCCTGGAAGCTGGAGATAAGTCAGATGCACAGGACCTACCTACAATGAATGATGAGACAGTCTTGCCACAGGCATCATCAGAGAACACTAATGTAATCATGGTACCTGTTAAAGTGATAGGTGTTACAGAAAGAATTACCTCAGAAGTGCCATCCACTGGAGAGGCATTGGATTCGCCTGACCTTAATAAATATATGTAGTCAGGATGATGCTCTTGAGTACGTTGATCATGTAAAAAGTGGAGCAATCTCTGTTCAGTTTCAAGCAATTTGTAAGAAAGAAGCCCATGACTCATGGCTTCAAGACTTGCCTTGGAACTGGCTGCCAAGATGCCAAAAAATGCTTAAAGCAAAAGGTTCTGAAGATAAAGACGTACAAACTATGCTATTTGCTCTTAAGTGTCTGCACACTGTAGGCAGAGCACAATAGTCTTACCATCTTATGAGCAAGAGATTGTAATAACTCACTACAATGGATACATTACAGATCTTTTCATGGAACATTGCTTCCATCAGGAAGTGGTTGCCTGACTTACATCATATTAGTGCAACCAAGAATATTGATGTCATCTGTTTGCAGGAATGTAGACTGAGAGATGGAGCACCTCCACCAAAGTTGCCTGGATATGCAGCTTATAACTTAAGGTCAACCAACTGTTGTGTGATGTATGTCAGAAAGAACTTGCCACATTCACTCCTTGCCCTGCAGAGTCGAGTAAACATGCAGTATCATAGTGTCAAAATATATGCAGGCGATTTTTCCCTAAACATTTTTAATTTCTATGCCCCAGCAAACCAGCTTCGACCTGATGCTTTACCAGATCGCATCAATAGCGAACCTACCCTCATTCTTGGAGACTTTAATGCCAGACATAAGAATATTGGTGGGTCTATGACAAACACCAATGGAACTAAACTAGAGAAATTGCTAAATGAGCATGATAATGTTCGAATTGTGGGCACTACTGAGCATGCTTATATACGTGGCATACTAGATCTGTGCCTTGGATTTAATACATCATATACGATGCATGACTCTGTCATAGTGATGATCTTCTATGTGATCACTTCCCAAGACTCACAACTGTCAATCTTGATTACATCTCCAGTAATCAAGGAGTTAAATACAGAAGGAGGAAACTTATTCTCAACCCAGAGCACAGAGACAACTTTATTAACCACTTGGATCAATGGTATAAGAATTACCAGCCCAGTGACACACAACAATTCAACAATGATTTAGTTGCCACTATTGAGACTGTCCTCACAGATCAAGTGGGCAGGAAAAGAAAACATAGACCTTCCACTAGAGGTGACAATAAAAACCAATGTAAATACTATAATGATCCAGAGCTACGCAATCTAACACATTCAGCTAGGAGGATTGGTAAAGCGTACCGTGAATGTAAACCCCCAGACCTGCTCAGAACGTTCCAAGCTGCACTAACAAATGCAAGGAATAGAAAGCAAGAACTTAGGCAACAGGAATGGGAACAATTTGTTAGTGGATTAAATAGGTCCACCCCTTTAAGTTTGGCTTGGAAAGGTATAAATATAAATAACCAGGAAAAAGATTGGCAATGTTGCTCATCCCTTTCCTCTTGAAAAAGCAAATGACCTCATAAATGACTGGTCCAAAACATCCAGGCATGAAAACCTTCCATCTCATATTAAAACAAATTTAGAGAATGCTTCTGAAGAAATGTTGAAAATGATTAATTTTACGAGTCCCTCAGCCTGGAGTCGACTCCAGACTGAGGGACTGATTACCTCAAACTCCTCCTCTCCTTACGCCTTTCTACTTTGTATTGGACTGAAGAAGCCACTGTGTGGCGAAACAATTCCTGAATAAAGATTCCCATATGTTGCATAAGTGTCTCAATCTTCAACTTGTCGGTTTTTCAAACCATTCATCACAACTGTCAGACACTGCAGCATCATGGGATCTTGTTACAAAGAATTCTTCAACACTTGTCCAACCTTTGGACGAAGACCTACTTCGACTCGTGGATGGTACCACTATGACCTACCTCCTCCTGCTTCGCCTCACCTCACTACAGTATATAAGCCACCTCTACAGCCCTATGCTGTACATTCTACAAGATTGATGGACTGAACACATCGACTCCAGGCTGAGGGACTGATTACCTCAAACTCCTCCTCTCCTTACGCTTTTCTACTTTGTATTGGACTGATGAAGCCACTGTGTGGCGAAACGTTTCCTGAATAAAGATTCCCATATGTTGCATAAGTGTCTCAATCTTCACAATAGCCTGTTGATGTCCTAGCCCTCATCAGTCAAAACCTCCTTTATTCCCATCCCTCCAACCTATTCTGGGAACCCTACCTCATAATTATATGAACAATGTGTTACAATATGTAACATAATATAATACAATGGAAAAGAGGGTAATAATACTACAGTCAAGAATTGGGATTATTTATGGTTTAAAAAATTATCCCTGTTGTTACAAGTACAGTACTTGGATGTATTTACTTAATGAGAAATTTACAAATAAATGTATGTTTTTAATTAAAGCAGTACATTTTTCTTTTTCAAATGAACACAAGACATACTACAATTAAAGTACTTATTACAACCATCACTGTCAAGCAGGGCAATTACTCAAGTTATAAAATTGGCTTCTTTTTATTTTATCATGTCTTATAAAAGTACAATGCAAACTTATTAATGGACATTTCTTCGGTACCAAAACCGTGCCCGATAGTCATCAGAGCACGTGATGAAAGCTGGAGAGCATGGAGAATGAACCATGTGCCTTACAGGCCCATTATGACCTGAAAAAAAAAGCAAAATTAGTACATAAAAATAATGAATCCTTTTGTAAAAGCTTTTACTCCTGAGTATTCATGTACAGCCTCTCCTCACTTAATGATGGGGTTCCATTCCTAAAAGTAGGTCGTTAAGTGAGGAGCAAACTACTGGTAGTGGGTTTGTGTCAACCATCTTTAAATATTTTTTTTAATGTCACCTTTGTACTATTTATAACATTTCTGGAATATTTTTAAATGTTTATACAGTAGTGTACTGTATACATACTGTAATAAACAGAATAGAGGAAATCAGTTCTAATATACATTATCTAGGTTTACATACTGGTTGGAGAGCTGGTCATAAGTCTGACTGGTTGGTAAACAAGCACATTGTGAATGAGGAGAGGCTGTATGTAGATGGTGAAATGCTAAAAAAAAAAATTTCACACCATATGTCAGACCATAAAAAAAAAAAAAAAAAAAGATAACATATCATTTTTTAACACTGGTTGTCTCCCAACAAGGTACAGTGACCTGATAAAGAAGAAAACACCTTCACTGTCACTCATTCAATCACTGTCTTAGCAGAAGGGAGTTGGCATGACAGTTCAGATGACCCTCTAAATCTCAACATCCCCACTCCTCCTTCAGAATGTAGGCACTGTCCTTCCGACCTCCAAGATTCAAGACGTGCAAACAGGTTTCCCTTCATAAATGTTACTTTTCTCACACTCTAACACTTTGTCAAATCATAAAAACCACTTGCCTCTATTCCTATCTAACATGATCACACAAGCCTGTCGATGTCCTAGCCCCTAGCACTCAAAACTTCCTTTACCCTCTCCCTCCAATTTTTCTTATGATGACCCATACCCCTCCTTCCCTCAACCCCAGATTTATATGCCCTCCTTGTCACCTTATTTCTCCACCCCTCTCTAAATATCCAACTCACCTCAATAACCCTTACTCAGCCCTCTAAATAAATACTTTTGTTAACTCCACATCTAATCTCCAAGCTCCAAATTCTCTGCATATTATTCACACCACTCATTGCCCTCAAACAGAGCATCTCTACCTCCTCTGGCCTCCTCTCTGCTGCAACATTCAAAATCCAGGCTTCACATCCATACAACAGTGTTGGTATCATTATATTCTGGTACATTCTCCATTTTTGCCTCCAGGGATAAAGTTCTTTGTCTCTGCAGATGCTACAATGCAGCACATACTTTTTTCCCTTCATCAATTATATGGTTCACTTCATCTTTCAGAGGACCATATGCTGACAAGTTCCTTCCCAAATATAAAAGGAATCAAAAGACATGCTACAAAATGGTTCTGTTTTAAAAGACATGAATTTGGAAAATAGACAGAAAAGACTGAAAATGCCATCACTGAAACATATGAAAAGACGAAGTATAATAAGTACAAACAGTATCATAAAAGGAAAAGAAATTAAGAACTTTGAGCACAAGGATGCCACAACTTTAAATTAAGAAAAACAGTGCAGAAAGAACACACATTTTTTTAATTAGAAACAAGTGTGGTAAACACTTGATTGTAATACCAATGAACACCATTAGTACATGCTCTTTTACTCCAGATACTTACAATTTACTGATAAATCTTTTATTCAAGATAGTAAAATGCAAACTAAATATTAAAGGCAAAACACAAGGAATTAAGGAAAGTAGCAATAACAGTGAGGTGGAGATAATGTATGAAATATTAATGTGAAGTTCCAGAATATGTTTACAGAAGAGGGCACATTACAAGCAGTGAATTTAAGCAACAAAGAGGTGAAATGGAGGACACTTAAATATTCATGAGGAAGTACAGAAACTACTACCAGATGTTGGAAAGAAAAAAGCAATAGGTCCAAATGTTTTGCATTTTAAAAACCCTTGCAGAATTAAGTTATCAAAGCTAGAAAAAAAAAAAAATTGCTTCATTATGAGAAGGTAAACTAGCAAATAGAAAATGGCACACACTATACCAATATTAAGAAATACAGGTCTCAAGGCCTCTCTCTCTGACAAGTGTTACTGTAAGAATATTGGAAAAAGCCATTAAAGAAAAATGGATAAAAACCTAGAAAGTTTCTTAACAGATGGAAAACAGTATACTGGGATACAAGAGGTGGTGACAAGTGCTAAAAATGCCTGAAAATTTTTAAAAAATGATAAGATACATTAAATACTGAAAATGGGACACCACAAGTACTGCTCTACTCCTACAGCAACAGATAGATAATTATTCACTGATTAAGTAGATTTAACTCAGTTTTAGACTGGGCTGCAAGAGCAGATAAACCCTTGAAATGAGTCACAGGTATACTAAGGTTTGTAGAAAGCTTGCAAACAAACAGAAAACTACTTTCATATTAAAGGACCTACATGAACTAAATAAATGGTCAAAAAAATTATCAAATGCTATTTATTATACGGTAGCAAAATGCCAGACTCTGCATGCAGAATACAACACACACACACGTAGTTAAATAATAGATGAATGGCGTATACACTATCCCAGTTTCTTACCAAGGGAGAGCAAGTTTTTCCGCTGAGCATTGCGAGCATCCCAGGCACATAATGATGTAGTTGCCTCATCAGGAAACATCACAAAATCTTCTGTATGGTTGAACATTGCATGGGCACTATGCTCCTGACGACCTATTCAGTGATAAATAATTTATTATTATATAGTGATTTTCCCCCCCATCTGGGAATTCCCTTTTCTTGAGAGGTTTTTATGCAATGATATTGAAAAATCAGGCCCTATCAAACCTCTCCCTAATTAAAAAGAAATCAAATTCAATATATCTCAAAGGAAATAGCAGGAAAAAACAACAAACTAACACTATTTCAAGCAAATACCTCAAAGAACTTCACAGATGACCATAAAAACCTGTCAAATAGTATTTAACCCTTTCAGGGTCCAAAAGCCAAATTTCAAAGTGCACACCAGTGTCCAAGAATTTTCAAAAAATAATTTTGTTATTTTTTCTTATGAAATGGTAGAGAATCTTTTTCTGAAGGTAATAAAACAAAAAGTACGAAATTTGATGGAAAATTGACGAAATTATGCTCTCGCGAATTTTGACGTGTCGGCGATATTTACACATCGGTGATTTTGCCGCCTTTGACTCCCATTTTAGGCCAATTATATTACTCCAGTCGACCAAATTCTTAGCCATTTCACTAGTATTACTTCTATTCTATCGATTGAGCACAAGAAATCGCCCAGTCAACTGTTTCAACTACAAAATAAAGTGATCGGAAATTGGTAATTTGGCCAATTTAATGCAAAGTTCAAAATATTCAAATTTCAAAATTGGGTCCAGAATAAACAATGCAGGGATTCCTGGCACTAAACTAACATTTCCTCTGTTTTCAGGCTTTACCAATGAATTCCATTTTGGTTTTTTATTCACATAATGAATTTTTATTCAAACCAAAAAATAGGAGATTTACTGTTATGCAATACTGTAGTAATTGTATAAATAATATCACCACGTTTGTGAACATATATTAGACCCACCAGCTGGCGTGTATTAGACGTGTGGAATCATTTGTTTACTCTTGAACATCGGCAAAACTTTAACATATTTGCTATTTTGAACTCAGTTTCAACCCATTTCCATTATTAAAACCAATCAAAATCATGTCTATTTCTGTAATATATCTTCCATTCTATCAAATGAGACCAAGAAATCGCAAATACAGCTATAAAAAACATACAAAAAAACACTGCAAAGTCGCTGTTTTAATCGAAAATTACAGTCTCAGTTTTTTTCTCTCATTATGCACTGTGTGCTGCAGGATTTGTTTTTGTGGTGCACACATACCACATAGATGTATTCTCTCATATCTAGGCCCAAATTTACCACTCACAGCTTATCAGAGTGAGCTGAGCTCATGGCGTAGATATACGGTTTGGACCCTCAACGTATAGCCGTAGATCTATGGCACGGACCCTCAAAGGGTTAATACCTTAGCAACATGCAACACTGCATACAGAACACAATACCTGGAGAGAGATCCACCATGAGGCCTGGTCTGTGACCAGGCCTCATGGTGGATCAAGGCCTGATCAACCGGGCTGTTACTGCTGGTCGCACGTAATCCAACATACGAACCACAACCTGGCTGGTAAGGTACAGGAAGGCCCCGCTTTACGGCGTTTCACTTTACGGCGTTCCGCTAATACGGACATTTCAAATTATGACCAAAACTCACTATACGGCTCCCCCCACCTGACTTTCTAATACGGTCACCGTGCCCCACCCTGTTTGTTTACATTCTCCATGAGCTCAGTAAGCACTAAGTCTCTCCATTTTGTCTGGAAACTCCAAAATTTCAAATGTTTTTAAAAGTTATTTCATATTTTATATATACTCTGATAATTATACTTATGTATACCTGTACCTAAATAAACTTACATACATCAAGTCATTTAAATGTCGTATATTACGTTAATATACACATTTTCATTAATCCATCCATGATATTTTTTTCAAAATTATATAATAAACACGATGCATAACAATAAATAAGTAAATACACCCCACAGTAGAATAAATAAACATAAATGTGAGCTGTGTAGCAGACGACTTCCACAAGTGGTGATAATAACAATACTGAGTCTCATTAAATGTCGTATATTACGTTAATATACACATTTTCATTAATCCAGCCATGATATTTTTTTCAAAATTATATAATAAACACTATACATAACATATAAATAAGATAAATACACCCCACAGTAGAATAAATAAACATAAATGTGATCTCTGGTAGCAGACGACTTCCACAAGTGACGCCATAATAACAATAGTCACGGAGTCTCATTAAATGTCGTATATTACGGTAATATACACATTTTCATTAATCCATCCATGATATTTTTTTCAAAATTATATAATAAACACGATGCATAACATATAAATAAGATAAATACACCCCACAATAGAATAAATAAACATAAATATAAGATGTGGGAGCCACATAACTTGTACAAGTGACGCCAAGAATAACATTTTCTCTAATCTAACATAAGAGTAAATGTGTTACTGGGGGTAACTGTAGAAAATTATTCCTTTCGTATGTATGTAAGTAAGTTTATTCAGGTATACACAAATACAGTTACATAGATTATCATACATAACAACATACGTGTAGAGAACCTAGGATAACCCAAAAAAGTCAGTGTGACTTATTTCCATTGCCTTCACTCAGAGCTTCATTTCTTCTCAAAATGATGTTACATGAGAATGGGAGTGTTCTTCTTTATTAATTCTACCGTATCAATGTAGAGACAACCTGTACACAATGTAACTTGTACACAAACCAGACGTGTACACTTCGTTTGTTTACAAAACTTACCTTCGCCTGGTTTGTTTACATAACTGCGCCTGCCCCCTCTCATGTATTCATTCTTTCTCTCTCTCATTTATTCGTTTTATCTCATTTACTTACTCCTGACCCTACATTAAGACTACAAATATTTTAAGGTAAGTAATGAGTGAACTGTATATACATTTTATCGCTCTGGGATGCTTAAATATCATAGAATAGTATGTGTGGGTGGGGTGGCCTGGTGAGGCTATTACAATACATACCACACTTGATTTCTTACAATAAATACTACTTGTCTCACCCTAGATTAAGACTATAAATATTTTAAGGTAAGTAATGAGTGCACTATGTGTGTATTGTACCTTTTTATTGTTTTTTGATGCCTGGTTCTATTGCTAACTTAATATATGTTAGTGTAAACTTGTTATCTAGTGTTTGTATGCATTTATAAGTGGAAAAAAAGGGTGTTCCACTTTACGGCGATTTCCGCTTTACGGCGGTAGCCTGGAACCTAACCCGCCGTATAAGTGGGGCCTTCCTGTACTGACTTTAGGTGCCTGTCCAGTGCTTGCTTGAAGACAGCCAGGGGTCTATTGGTAATCCCCCTGATGTATGCTGGGAGGCAGTTGAACAGTCTTGGGCCCCTGACACTTACTGTGGTGTCTCTTATCATGCTAGTGGCACCCCTGCTTTTCATTGGGGGGATGTTGCACTGTCTGCCGAGCCTTTTGCTTTCGTAGGAAGTGATTTTCGTGTGCAAGTTTGGTACTAGTCTCTCTAGGATTTTCCAAGTGTACATCTCACTGACACTTTCATAATATTACTTTGTTATTGTGAAAATAGTTAACAACCTAAACACAAATCCTTTTTTTTCCAGCTGCACCAGTAGAAATAACCATAAAAACTGTGAATGATTATTTGTGCCAATGAAGGAGCAAAAAAAAAAAAAAACGCTGTAACCACACATTATAAATCCTTTGTGACTCCTTACTGTGACAATGGTATTCAAGCATAGTAATCATCACTGGCAAAGTTCTCTGTATGCGACAAAAACTGCCTCAAAACTAAATAACCGTGAATACCAGGATAAGTTAAGGACCTGAGTGCTGACATCTTTTCAAACAAGCACAAGAGGGCAACTTTTATTAGAGACATATAAAATAATGAATATTTAAATCATCCTTGGAGATGTACATACAAAATTTACCAGCTCAAAAAAGGTTTCACAGCTTATAAACAATTGGTTCAGGGCAGGATTTTATTGCAAACTAAGCAGAATGATGAGTCTATTCTGTTTCTTATCTGTTTCCAATAAAGAAAACTTAATTGCAACTTAGATATTTTTATTAATATTTCTGTAGAATCCATTTCATCTTCAAGGGTTTAATGTGCATACTTTCATTTCAAATAAGCATCTGAATCTTAATGTGTAAGAATCCCTGTACTTCAATTCGTGTTTCCATTCGAAAGGACAGAAAACCCTGCACAGTAAACCCTCAAGTTAACAACATAATATGCCATGGTGGCTAGAAATGAGATTGTTTTGCTGTGATTGTAACCAGAAGACTTTGGCCATTATTTCCAACCAGCCGATTTTATCCTAAATTTCCAGAGTACGGTACATTAAATTCAGGGTTTACTGTGGTTTGTTTTGGCATTTTGGAGGAAGTACTATAATCATGTATAAACCTGGAAACTCAGGAATAGAAAAGGGCCTAAAAATTGCTATAGAGTTTCACAAAAAAGCGGGACAGGCATATAGGTGACTACTACCCAGTGGCATGAGAACTAATGACAGGGAAGGTGAGAAATATTGAGGTTGGGTGCAAAGAAATGCAGGGACTAATGAGCTCCATTTCTTTAGATCACGACACCATCAGAAGACGAGTCCTTCTCTCAGATCTGCCCACATTCTGCATTCAACATTCAAACAATTAATTAAAGCTTTCATCAAGACAATTGCTCAATTATTATCATTACATTCATAGGGAAGTACTAAACCCACATTCATGGGGAAGTACTAAACCCATAGGGGTTATGCAGCATATGAAGGGAAATGGAAAGCATTGCGACTCATTTCAGAGAATTAGAGCACAGATTCAATTCCTTAGAACAAGAGCCGCTCATCAGCATCAAGGAACCTCCCTTGAAGGGAAACAATTACTCAAAAATATGGAATTATAACATCAATTTAAAACACTACAATAGGGAATCATTCTATTTTTCAAACTTATTTCTTGACTTGTAGTCTTAAATTGTTTTTGTTGTTTTAATTTGTTAAGGCCTATTTTCACACACTGGACATCTGCCTA